TTCTTCTTCTTCTTTTTTTCTATTGAATCTGTTTTAAAAATGTTCCGACATGCGAAGGTGCTATGCCAAAGGACAGCACACAGGAACTGCAGTCACCACCACAGGCATTAGCTGGCTACTGCCATCCCATGGAAGTCAGAGGAGAACAAGAATTCCACAGCTCACGGAGATTTCCAATATCAGTAATAAGTCAAATCAGCACAGAACACATCAGTGGGCAGCATCACAATGGGAAGAAATCTGATGTCTCCATGACAGAGCCATAAATACAAACTGACAGCAGGGAGCTGGCTGGTCCTGGATGGCTCACCATTTGGGAAACTCATGGTTAATTAATGACCACTGGAGAAGTTGAAGTGTACTGATTTCCAGGCACCATCCTCTACCCTGTCTCGTGTCCTTCTTATCTTGAGCACTCCGACAAGCATCAAGCAGTCTGTAATCGGAGAACAGATTACTGCAGTGTGCAGAGCAGGTCATCCTGTCTGATTAAGAACGTCCTCTGCAGTGGCATTCACAATGGATCAAATGTTTTCAGGCTTAGAGCTCAGCCACACGGGGCTCTTTCCCAACCTCCTTGCCCAGGAGGCAGCGATCACAGAGGACGCCACGACTCCCCTTGCACACAGTATAAGCCAAGGGGTCAGAGCGGAAGAGCAGCTCCCCGGGGCGCAGTGGAGCCACAGCGCGCAACCCATTTTCCCGGTCGGCAGTCGTGAATTTTTCCACCTTCAGTGCCTCCATCCTTCCTCAGATCCACACCTCAGACCAGAACGGCACCCCTCAGCTTGAGTCTTGTGTTTTCTGACTGCCCAAAGAACTACTTCTAAACAGGTCCACAAACCTCTTTTTCTGTTAATCTATTTGCTCCCAACCTCTAGTCATTGGGCTAGAAGGGAGGTTGAAGCATTCAAATTTCCTAATTAAAGTAGGTTTAGAGAAAATTCTAAGCCTATACACAAACTATTTTTAGTTTTTAGATAAATTAAACCTAAAAATTTATTTTTATTTATTTTTTATTTGAAAAAAGTGTGTGTGTGTTGTGTGTGTGTTGTGTGTGTGTATGCAGTTGCCCGTGAAGTCTAGATGAAACTGTCAGATCCGTTGTCACTGATGTAAATTCTAGGATTCAAATTCTGATCATTTGCAAGAATAGTAAATATTCTTTCTTAACCACTGAACCATCTTTTTGGCCTCCTAAAATTGATTCTTTAAACAGTTGGCATCAGTGAGTCTTTAAGTTTTGTTATGTTGAAGAAATAATTGTGCAAGGCCACAGTTATTTCATGAATAAAGCAAAAGCCACAACACAATTTAATTTTGAGAAACTTGGCAAAGAGCAAGAAACACAGAGGTAGGATAAGTGAGGGTTAATTAGCTTGGAGTCTGGTAAGAATGAATAGCAAAAGTAGCTACTGTCTGATGAACTGATGAAGTAGATGCCCAGGAGTTACACTAGATTTATGAGATTCTCAGAGAAACAGACACCAAGGCATTTCTTTCTCAGTGCATTTTTTGTATTTGCACACAGACTCGGCACCTTTAAATCTAAAGGCTGTTACTAAAACATGGCAGGATTGTGAAGGAAGAGGGGTTGTTTGGAAGACTGTGAAGTTCCAGGCACACATATGAACACTGACCTGACCACAATGCTCCCACTTTGTCCCTCACCCCCCTAAATTATGATTATAGGAGAATTCAGATATTTTATGTTACTGGGTTTCTTTCTCTCTTTCTTTCTTTCTTTCTTTCTTTCTTTCTTCCTTTCTTTTCTTTTTTTAGTAAAGATATACAGTTTGGGTAAGATATCTTAAAACTGGGAAACATGGAAAACTCTGTTGTGTAGCACAGAAAGGCTAAGGCCACAATGGGATTACAGAGAAATAGAGCTCTTCATTTTTGTCTTTACTATTGATACAATCAAACATTAGGTTACTTTTTACCTGTAGTATTTTAATTATGTAGCAATGCAAGTTATTATTTGTAAGTGGAACAGACAGTATTCCAAAGATCAGAGCTGGCCAGATGGTTCATCAGGTCCATACCTGAGGATTTCAATTTAAACCCATGGAAGCCACATGATGGAGAAGGAGAATGGAATCTTGCAGGCTGTCCTCTGACCATCATATTCTGGCCAGCTTTTGTGTTTGAGAATACACACTAAATACAGAAACAAAGAAGTAACAACAAAAGCGAAGAACTTCAATGATTACTGGCTTACCGAAAGATGCTTTTGTTTCATTTTAGGTTAGCAGCATTTTATCCTTGTTTAAAAAGCTAGATAAAACATTTCAGTTTCTGAAATGGCTTAAGACTTTCATAGCTTTTATCCGTTTTATTGATTTGATCTAGAAGAAGCTCAAAGTGATAGAATTTTTGTTTAAAGGATTTCCTAACAGATTAGTTAGGAGACCTTAAGTAACCCAAAGTAGAATTTAGCTAAGGGAGTTCTGCCTCCAAAATCCACCAGAGATAAGTATGCTAACCAGGCCTATTAAAGATAAGCAAAATTTAGGATACTAGAATGCTAATGTTTATTTACCAATATTGACCCCAATTAGGTTTTTCTTTCCATAACCAAAGAAATTTACAACCTACCCTTATGCTCATCCCTAGTATCAAAGAACATACTTCTAAGGGGCAGCCCTAGGGGGCAGTGCAGAATCACAACCATCATTCAGTCCTGGTCTGCCATTAAGTCTCCTGTGCTCTTATCAGGAAAAGCATAATTCTGTCAGGTGGGGAAGATGAATTTGGGTAATAACTATTCAAAAAGAACAATACTGGTGTACTTAAGAAGTAATTCTGACAATATATTTGTTGTAAATTTCCCCACTATCCAAGTGACCACACTTATGGTTTCCTTTCTCTTTTTAAAGTGTTCAAAGTGTAACCTGAGGCTGGGATCTGAAAGTGATCTAAGGTTGACAATGTATGTGGAATGCAAAAGTCTAAAGTGTATATAAGTTAGGAAAATCTTTTATTTATTGTCAGCATCATTAGCAATAGCTGGACAAGGGCTATGTATATTAAAAAGGACCCACTCCCCCTTAATATTCTCTAAATATTCAGAGTGATTTGTCACTGGGAAGGCATATTAATATTAATTTGAGAACAAATTAAGTAAATATGCTCTTTGATTCCTACTTTAAAAATCAATTATAAATTTGCCTATAAATTTACTCTACAGGCCTAGAAATGATAGAGAAATATATAGTTAAGATTAAAATGTGAATAAAAGTTAGAAAATAAATTTTGCAGACAATGACCATGGGAAGGTTAAGGCATTTCCATTCTGAGAGTGGTTCATAAGTCATCTTAAAAATGCTCTGATATTTTCTCTGTATCTTGAAGATTGGACAGTCTTTGAACAACTAACTATGTTGATGGTCTTCAATAAGAGAGGTATATGAGGATCAGGAAGGTAAAGCTGCGGGTGCTATCTTCTTATTCTACTTTAAGTTTAATAATTAATCAAAATAATGAGTTAAAGAAGTATGCCATTGACTTGACTGATGGCAAGGAAGTGATTATGATGGATGGTTCTAGTTTTTTTCAGGTTGCTTAGCTCTGGAAATTGAACAATTTCCAATTCCTAGGTTACACTGCCATTGTTTGCCTGAAGGAGGTGGAAGATGCAAATTCTTTATATGAGGATGTCAAGAAAAGGAACTCTGGACATCATGGAGTAGCTCTAACTTCTGTTGAGAAATATTTGAAGTTTGGAATTAAGGGCATCATGGAATGTATTTTCTTTCATTGTAATATGAATGTTTAGTCTAAAAGGTTTCCTGATAGTATTCAGAAATGTTTTAGGCGCTCATGGTTTCAGTTTATTTGCTAAGCCCCACACCCCCAATTGGTGCTTTGAGATTTTCACTTGAAAGATCCTGACAACTGACACTTTGTTTCATTCCAAAGCACAATTATCATTTCCCATAGAAAAAAATAACAAAGAGATTACAATATAGCTAGGTCACAGGGTAGTAATTATTTCTGATAAATGTTTGCTTGTTTGACCACTTTTTCAACTAGTCCCCGATAATTACACAGACACTTGATAATCTACATTCTTTTGAGCCATGTAGGACTTCCTAGTAATTTTCTCAATGAGGAATTACATAGTACAAACATGTCTATTTTGTACTTAGAACTTAATTATTTGCATTTCATACCTCATGACTGTTATAAGTGAAGGCACAGGTTTTCTTTTTGTTTCTGTTTTCTTTGAAAGAAGGTGGGCCTTTACTGTGCAGGCTATTGAGGCCTACCTCCTGGACTGGAATTCGATTACAAATTGATTTCTTTTGCCCTTTCTAGACTTTACCACAATGATTGTAGTTATAAAGGTTTCAAGGTTTCTTATAACTGAACCCACCATTGTCCAATCTCCCTTTCATTGTTAATACATAGAAACAATTCCAGTCACACTCCTTGTCCTGTCAATATCTTTAACTCTCAATAAGACAAAGTGATTCTTGCCTATAGTCCCAGAACAAAGTAGGGTAAAATAGGGAAATTGCTATGAATTGGAAGCTAATCAGGGGTATAAGGTAAGTTCCAGGGCAGCCAGGTCTGTAGTGATATTGTCAGTGAATAATTGAATGGATGAATGCATAAATAAAACAGATTTGTACATTGAAGCTGTAGAGATAGGTCAGCGGTGAAGAGCATTTGCTGCTTCTCCAGAGACACGAATTGGAATCCAGTACCCATTTCTGCCTGGCAGATAACATCAGCATATAACTCTACACTGGGAGATCTGAGACTCTCTTCAAGCCTGTGAGGACACCAAATACATGTCAAAAACACACACCCTTTAACATAAGAATAAAAAAATCCTTTGAAATATGCACATTAATGCAAGTAATGCGTGTTAAGTAGTAGCTGGACAGTAATTTACCATCTGACTTCATTTTTAAGTACTTGAAAATTTTCAGTCTCAGTCTTTGAACTGATCAACTTTCATAAATAATGAGGTAGAATTAATCAAGACTGAATAATTAAAACAAATCAAGTCCATTTTATTTTTAATGAATACTGGCTTTGAGTCCTTAGTTTTTTCTGAGGACTAAAAGCTCCAAACCCTCCATTGGCTGGGCATAGTTGTCCTTGCCTTTAAGCTTAGCAATAGGGAGGTAGAGGCAGGATCTCTGTGAGGTCGAAGCCAGTCTGGATAATTCAATGAGTTCCAAGACAACCAGGGCTACATAGTAAGACCTTGACTAGAAGACAATCAACAAAGCAATGAAAAACCAAAAGCAACCCCTCATTAAGTTATTGACAGGGCTTTTCTTTTTGTTCTTTTCATATTTTTGGCTCATTTTACCTATGCTGTTGTCAGATTATGTGCATACCAACATATATACTAACCACGTTGCCAAATTATCACAAATCTGGTGTTTCATGCCAATTCTTCCTTGATACCCTTGGCAGAAAGGCAACCTGATGGTCCCGTTGTTCATATGCACACATATACAGACCAGAACAATTAACTCGTAGGCAAAATGACCAACTTAAAATAATCGAACCCTTCCTTTACTGTTCATTTCTTTATGCTATTGAGTATTAAAGACAAACCTTAGGACATGTAAATCTACTTCAAGCTTACAGTATTTTCAGCACTTTGTTGGAATAAGTGGATGGCTCTGAAAAGAGCCTTTGTTTTCAATTCATGCTCAAGAAGACATTATTTTCCCTTGGCCTTGTGGTGGCTCTCGGTTTTCTTGGGCAGCAGCACGGCCTGGATGTTGGGCAGGACGCCGCCCTGCGCGATGGTGACGCGGCCCAGTAGCTTGTTGAGCTCCTCGTCGTTGCGGATGGCCAGCTGAAGGTGGCGCGGGATGATGCGCGTCTTCTTGTTGTCGCGAGCCGCGTTGCCCGCCAGCTCCAGGATCTCAGCCGTCAGGTACTCCAGCACGGCCGCCAGGTACACCGGGGCGCCGGCGCCCACCCGCTCAGAGTAGTTGCCCTTGCGGAGCAGCCTGTGCACGCGGCCCACGGGGAACTGTAGGCCGGCCCGGGAGGAGCGGGTCTTGGCCTTGGCACGAGCCTTGCCACCCTGCTTACCGCGTCCAGACATGGAAGTAGAAATGATGGAAACTGCAACCGTGAAGGAATCCCAGGATGCTCTGTCAACACAGGGGAAATGAGAAGCTACTTATATTCTTAGATGGAAGTGGAAAATGTGAAGTGTGATTGGTTAAAAACATATTTCCTCTCCAGCCAATAAGAGAGAAGATGCAATATGGTCTAATTTGCATAATGGTGTCACTAACTGGTCTTCAAATCATAGTTGACTACTTCTAAATCGCTGATTTGCATAGAAGCTCTATAAATACCCAGGAACCAGGACTCGACCACATTGCATTTTCTGGTTTTTGTTTCTGTTTGTTACTGTTTTTTTTTTTTTTACCATGCCTGAGCCCGCGAAGTCCGCTCCAGCCCCGAAGAAGGGCTCCAAGAAGGCCGTGACCAAGGCACAGAAGAAGGACGGCAAGAAGCG